AACATTTCAATTTCATCCCAAACTATGACCTTCATTATAAATTTCTCCCCAAACTTTTCAAACATTCTAATTTCATCTCAATTATACATATATACTAATCACATCCTTTGTTAATAAAATCGTTAGACAGAGTTATATTATTGTATGTTTCAAAAAAAATAAAATTTATATAAACTATGGTTGAAACTAATTACATATTTGGATGAATTTGGCGATGGAATTGGAATATTTAGAAGTTTGTGGACTAATTTAGAAAAGTGTCATACTTTAGAGGTGAAGTTAGAATTTTAAAATGTTTAAGGACTAATTTAGAATAAAAGTCATAGTTTGAAGATAAAATTAGAATACTAAAAATTTTAATGACTAATTTAAAATGAAGATTATGTTTCGAGATATATGATGCATTTAACTCTTATGTAATATTTTTATGGGGTAAATTACACCATTCCTCACTGAACTATGCTCTCTCTCCTATTTTCCTCACCAAACTTTCAAGTTTTCTAATTTGATTACGGAACTTTACAAATTGAATTATTTTGCTCACTCTCATGTTATCTCTCTAATGTCGTTAACAAAAAAAATTGAAGGTGGCATGCCAGATGCCACTGCCGTCAAACGTTGACAATCGAAGATTGTGGTCATTCGGTCTCAAATTTCATGGGTCACTCCACCTCGATACCGTGAGTTCGAATCCGACCTCTATTTTGTTGCAACTTGCTTCGAAGTCCACCAATTTGAGATTGAAAGTGGGGAAGCCGAAACGTTTCAATCCATATTCACGAGTTTTGAGACATTTTATGGTGAAACAACCACTAAATTCGGACTCAAGGGATCGAGATGAACCGACCCATGAAATTTGAGACCGAAAGGCCACCATCAACGGCAGTGGATGGTGGCTGGAATGAAAATGGCATGGTGGCTGGCGGCGGCGACAACCAATTGCAAAGTAGAAAGAAAATGGGGGAAAAGAAAAAGGAAAAAAATAAAGAAATGAAGAAGAAAAAAAGATTTTATATGGACTCGAAACGACGTCGTTTTGGTGTATATTTGGGTTTTTCAAAACGAAGCCATTTTGATGCTTATGTCATTTCTTGTGCCATGTCATAACACCGTGAAATAGTTAATAGTAGAGTGAGCAAAATTATTCAATTTGAAAAGTTCAGTGAGCAAATTAAAAAATTGAAAGTTGGGTGATAAAAATAGGAGAGAGAGAGTATAGTTCAATGAAGAACGGTGTAATTTATCATATTTTATGATACATAATTAGAATTATTTTATCACTATATTTTTTAAATGTCGACCACTTAGCTTGGGTATAAGTCTCTTAACAATGTCAGAAAAGAAAAGTCTGGGAAGACATTCTTTCTGGTCTTAATATTCTAGATAATGCTGACAGAAAAAGAAGAGATGAAGAATTATCAGAGAAATTGTATAACTTCTTGAAGGATAACAAATGTTTGGTGATTATTGATGATATCTGGAGCACAGAAGATTGGGATCTTCTTAAACCTGGTTTTCCAGTCGTAAGTGACATGAAAAGCAAGTTCTTGCTCACCTCTCGAAACAAAGTAGTTTCACATGCTGACAGAATAGGTTACCCTTATGAGTTGCAATGCTTGAACTATGAAGAAAGTTGGGAATTATTTCGAAAGATAGCATTTTCTCAATCAGGTAATTGATAATTTTACCATATTTCTAATACATAATCTTTTTTAAAAATATGGTTTGGATTCAATTTGTCTAATTTTTGTTAGCTAAGCATAATTTGTTGTTCTTATCAGGAAACTCAGTTGATGCAAGAATGGAAGAATTAGGAAAGGAAATGATTCATCACTGTGCAGGGGCTGCCATTAGCCATCACTGTAATGGGAGGCATTTTGGCTACCAAGAATTTTGTATATGAATGGTAAATGGTGATTGAAAATGTTAAGTTATATCTAAAGAGGGGCAAAGGCAAACGACTAAGCACCGAGGATGTGTTAGCCTTGACTTATGATGATCTGCCACTCTATTTAAGACCAAGTTTCCTTTATTTAAGTGTTTTCCCAGAAGATTACGAGATACGTGCAGAACGATTGATTCAATTATGGATTGAGAAGGAATTGTTTCAACAGAGGAAGATGAAGGGAAGATCATGGAGGATGTTGCAGAACATCGGTTGGTCGAACTTGTGGAAAGGTGCATGCTTCAAGTTGGAAGAAGAAGCGCAACCTTAAAGATAAAAACTTGTCGCATGCAAGATCTGATGAGAGAGCTACGTTTGTCGATAGCAAAGAAGGAAAATTTTCTTTGCTTCATTAACAATCCCTCGATTCCTCAAATCGTTAGTCGCAGAATCGTTCGCATTGTCTCATTCTCATTCGACGCATTGAAAGTTCCCCTCTCAGGTCGATATTGCTCTTTCATAACTCATTCGAAGTCGATGCCCTGGCCGAAGCATTTCTAAACCCGAAGATGTTGAAATACTTCGAAGAACATAAGGATGACGAAGGTTGCAACAAAGCACGTGTGTTACGAGTTTTTCTCTTTTGGAAATTACTGGGATGTTTGAGATGTTTGTTCAACAAGTTCAAATTGCTTAGAGTCCTAGACTTTGAACAATCTTATGGTGATTCAGGATGTAAGTTCCCCAGTGCTATAGGCGATCTCATCCCCTTGAGATTCTTGAATTTAGGAGCCTTTGATTTCTTTACATCAATGATTCCATCATCTATACGAACCTTGAAGTGTCTGCAAACAATTCCATCATCTTTAGGCAACTTAAAGTGTTTGCAAACCTTGGATTTAGGAAATTTTGTAAATCCCATTAATGTGCCAAATGTGATATGGAAGTTGGATCAGTTAAGACATCTCTATCTCCTGGAGCAATGGAATATTGACGACAAGACCAAGTTGCAGTTGCACACATTGAGAAACCTTCAAACACTTGTCAACTTCAACACACGAAGGTTTCAAGGAAGGTTTGGACAAGAATCAATCAATCATCACAAGCAAATACCTTCATTCCTTATGGGTGCGTTTGGTTCACGGAATGTAAGATTACCATAAAAGAATACCAGAGAATAGGATTACCGGAAATGTTGTATTTTGTGTTTGGTTTGTTTAACAGGAATGTAAGATTACAGTGTTTGGTTAAAGAAATAAAAGATTATTGGAATGTATATTTGACCAAATTGTCCTTATTATATATTTGTTTTTTAACAAGTTGGAAAATATTTATATATTTTCTTTAAAAAATTTAAATTCATAAAATTTATATAATTTTTTTACAAAATTGAAAAAATATAAAATGGTTTAATGAAATGGTAAAATTTATTTTAACCCCTAAATTTCATATAAAATTTTAATTATAGATTTTTTTTGTAAATCTAAAATAGTTTAAGGATAAATTTGTAATTTAATCTTCGTAGAATTTTTATTATTCAATGACAGAATAAAGAAATTTTTGAAAGAAATTTTTTAAGAGCATTTTAGTCCAAAACATTAGTAATCCAACAATACCTAAGTAAAGGGATGTAATGAGATTCCCGGTAATATACCCCAAAAAATCCACTATTGGTAATGTAAGATTATCAGGAATGACAATCTCGGCTAACCAAACGGGGGAATGTGGATTCCATTCCCATGAGAATCTCACATTCCCCTAACCAAACACACACTATCTGTATGGAGTGATGACATTTGGAATAATGAAGGAATAGATCCAGAACTATTAGGTCACCTCCTTTCAAGCTGTATTGATTTGCTTGAGCTGAAGTTAGAAGGGAAGATGAAGATGTTACCTGCAGATCATCATTTCCCTTCAAGCATAGCTTACATAGGCTTAAAGAAATGTAAGTTTGAGGAAGATCCCGTGCCGACAGTAGAGAAGCTTCCCAACTTAAGGGTTCAGAAATTTGGGTATGAAGCTTTCATGGGAAAGAAAATGGTTTGCTCTAACCCACATTTTCCTCGACTCGAATCCCTAACCTTTGACCAGCTTGGAAACTTGGAGGAGTGGAAGGTGGAAGGTGGAAGAAGGAGCAATGCTTGCTCTAATCCATTTGAAGATTAAACAATGTGAAAGATTGAAGATGCTTCCAGATAGATTGAGATTCATTACAACACTCCAATAATTGAAGATTGATTGAATGGCAAACCAATTCAAAGATAAAATGGTGGAAGGAGGAGAAGATTTCTACAAAGTCCAACATGTTCCTTCTATCATATTTTCATGCATTCGTTGAGAATTATCATCTTTAATTGTCAAGTAACTCTATTATTCCATTGAATTAAGGTACATTTATAAACTACTAACATACTTAACACATACCATTGTTCAAACTTAATCATTTACTAGGGTAGCTAAACAATTCACCTACATCAATGATCCCATCCAACAACCTTCCATGTTTTCACTAAACTTCAATGCCATACTTATACTAGAAACTTGAAGGTAAAATATACCTTTCTAGGTGAACATGTCTAATTCATGATGAATTGTAAGTGATAATGCTTAATGAAGCATAGTTGACAAGTATGCATATTAATCTTAATGAGTTCTATGTCATTGTATCATGTTGAAGTACGCTTTTGATGATTCGTGTCCACTGATGAATTCATGGTGAAATTAGTATATTGATGCATGTTTGAGTTGTCCTCGACTATGATATATGTTGCATATAATTTAGGTAAAATATGATAGATTTTTAAGCGTGTTTAAAAGAAAAATTTTGACTATTGAATGTATTTGATATTGATATTATACATGTAGTGTTAATTTTAAATCAATAGAAAGTATAAATACTACACATAAAAATATTGATATCATAAATCGAATTTATATTACAGTATATCATTTTTGATATCGGTACTGAGAAAAATAGAAAGAGCCGAAGCCAATTGGGGGAGGAGCTAAGCCAAGGGCCCAATGGAACTGGTGAAAACCCTTGAAGGACAAGAAAGCCCAAAAAAAAAAAGAACTTGCAAGAACCTCACAGGTGCTAAAGAAGGGAAGCCTGAACCAGCACTTATCGTGTTTAAAAAAAAATGCCATATGTTTCCCCGAATTTGCGCCTCCTCTTCTCCCCTCTAAAACCCACTCTCTCGTTCCCTCTGTTCACCTCTAAACCCAATCCAAAACCCTTCTCCTTATCCACCTTACTCGATTCTACATCTCCCTCAAAACGACCACGTTCCTTCCCCCGTCGTGATTCCCCCAACATTGCCAGAAGAAGTAGCAGCACTTTCAAAGAGCGTAAAGGCGGAGGCAGAGAAATGGCAATGGAGGAAACCGCCGAGCAGTCAAGGGACTCTTCTTCTACATCTTCTTTTGGGTTTAATAAAAGAAGGGCTGAAGGGAAAGATAAGAGCGATAGGCCTAAAAATAATCCCCAGTTGAAAGAACGCAAGCTTAATCCTACTAATACTATTGCATATGTTCAGGTAAAATTTTTTCTTCATTGTTTTTACTGCGACTTCGTTTTTTAGGGAGATTTTTTTATTTTTAAAATGAGTTTTTGTTGCTTTTGGGATCAAAATTGTGAATTCTGAGTAATTGGCCCTAAAGCATTTGTTTTTAGAAGTTTTGTTTCTTAAAGTAGAGAACGTTTGAATAACAAATTGCATTATTTGACTTTTATTTCACTTTAGCTACTGGTTCGGTTTAAAGCAGTTAAAATTTTCAACATGCAGATTTTGGGGACTGGAATGGATACACAAGACACATCACCTTCAGTCTTGCTCTTCTTTGACAAACAGAGATTTATTTTTAATGCTGGAGAGGTCAGCGTTTTGGCTTATTTACAATGGATTTTTCCTTTCTTGTTAGCTATTTATAATATTTAGCTTCAACTCAATTTATATGCATTCTCCAGTATGCTACAAGGTTCATATTTCATCATTGTTTAAAAGAAATATTTTAGCTTTGCTTAATGTATAGATTCCTAATGTGATTGTTGAGGTAAACATTAATCAAGGAAATGAGCTAGAGGAATCGTGGGTATTTATCTATTTTAGTTGCTTCTTTCTTTGTTCGCTCCGAGAAGTTTTTGAAGGTGTGCAACCCTTTCAATCACCATTGTGGTGGCATATAGGAAGTACCATAAACTTAGAGTTATGGTCCTTAGTTAACTTACAATTGCCTAACATTGACGCGTTTTTAATGCGCCTAAGCTGTTGGCTGGTCATGTCCAGTTATTATAAATGACATTACTCTACTGTGTATTGCAACCAGAAGGATAGTGCTTCAGTTTCTTGTGGGCTCAACTGTTGAATTTGGTCAATGTATATTTGCCTATCTTTCACTGCAATATACTTAATTGTGCAATGGATGCAATGTTTTCTATAGCTATTCTAAATTTGTTATTTTGCTGGCACCCTCCTATCTCTTTTTAGGAGCCATAAGTTACCTTTTACATTTTTGGAGTTGAATGTCAGTGGCCAAGTTTCTTAATTGGTGTTTGGATTCAATTTGAGCTGTCTTACCTGTGATTATTTGGGCCTTAGAAAGATGTATCTAGGATAGCTGGTAAATTTTATGCAACATTGGCAGTGGGAAAGTATGAAATAATTTCTCTAGAAAGCTTATGAGCTCTGATTGGTATTATGATTAATTATTAACACCTGTTATGGCAGGGATTACAACGGTTTTGCACAGAGCATAAAATTAAGTTATCAAAGGTACAGTACTATTCTTCTTTCATGAATATTTTTGCCAATTTCTTCCCTTTTATTCTAGAAAGATAGTCTGATGTGGATGCTTTCTCCAGATAGATCACATATTTCTCTCACGTGTCTGCTCAGAAACAGCGGGTGGACTTCCAGGTTTTTCTTGAATCTCGTTTATAATGTTCTGTTTAAGTCTGATATACCATAGTGTTTAAACTTACCTTTCTGATAATTTTGAAGATTTCGGGAAATTGACAAAAAAAATTGCTAATATGTTGAACTGAAAAGCAATATTATTCTGAGAAATATGTTCTAGGCATGCAAAGTTGATTGTGTATCTCCTGAATTGTTGAGTTTAACTTCTTTCTTGCAGGTTTGCTGTTGACTTTGGCTGGCATGGGAGAAGAAGGGTATAGCGTGAGTATAAACAGATATAAAATATTTCACTTTTCCTTGACATTGTCGTGCCTATTACTTAAGTACTAGCCTATATTGCTGTAAAGGTCAAAATCTGGGGACCCTCGGATCTCAATTTTTTAGTAGGGGCAATGAAATCTTTCATTCCACATGCAACTATGGTTCACACTCAGAGCTTTGAAAGGGCACCTGTTTTGGACGCTGCTGAAAATGTAACTGCTCCAAATAAAGCTGCAGATCCCATTGTTCTTGTCAATGATGAGGTTGTCAAAATATCAGCAATTCTCCTACAACCTCATTGCTCACAACAGTCCCAAATAAAGCCTGGTGAAATGTCTGTGTTATATATTTGTGAATTGCCTGAGCTTATGGGAAAATTTGACCCAAAAAAGGCTGCAGCTCTTGGCCTGAAACCTGGGCCAAAGTATAGCGAGCTACAACATGGTAAATCAGTGAAGTCAGACCGCCTAGATATAATGGTGGGTGAGCTGTTAATAAGAAAAATTCTTTTGGTCCTATGCTTTTTTTGTATAAATTATTTGCCTGGTTGTACTTTCTGACCCATGATAAACTTTCCAATGTATAGGTTCATCCATCTCATGTAATGGATCCTCCTGTCCCTGGTCCTATTGTCTTCCTGATTGACTGTCCCACAGAATCTCATATACAGGAATTGTTATCCATAGAATGCCTCAATGGATATTATACCAAGGTATCTAGTAATCTATCAGAGAGTACTAAGATGGTAAACTGTGTCATTCATTTAAGTCCCGCTTCTGTTGTAAGCAGTCCTGACTACCAGAAATGGATGAAGAAATTTGGTTCAGCGCAACATATCATGGCTGGACATGAAAAGTAAATCTCTTTGCATCATACAGGAAATAAATATTTGCACCCTTGCCTATGAACTGATAGTTTTCTTATTTATACCACTCTGCAGAAGGAATCTTGAGGTTCCAATTCTAAAATCAAGTGCAAGAGTTGCATCACGACTTAATTACTTATGCCCACAGTTCTTTCCGGCTCCAGGATTCTTGTCCTTTCAGCACCTTAATTACTCAGAACCAGATATTAATTCAAGCGAGGTCTGTTTCCACTCTAGAAGCGACATTTTTTTAGAATCAGGTTTATTATTATGCCATGAAAAGTTTGGAGGCAACCGAGTATTATTTTCCTTTTTACCAGGGTTCCACTTTGAAGATCTGTGAAAGCATTCCTGCTGAAAATCTCTTAAAGGTATTCTTCTTGAGGCTAGTGCTGGTCCTTTTCCTTTTTCCTTAAATAAGGCGGAAAGTAAGTAAAAGTATTTTTATTTTGAAGCTTTTGTTGTAAAATACAGACTGTCTATATTATATTCAGCTCTGGGCTCTTGAGAAATTTAGTGATGCAATTTTTCTTACATTTTGGACAGTTCACGTTGCGCCCTTATGCTCAACTGGGACTGGACAGATCACAAATTCCAATTCCGATAGGCCACTCTCAAGTAATTGATGAACTGCATTCAGAAATTCCAGAGATTGCAGATGCTGCACAAAATGTCAGAGAGTTTTGGCAGGGGCTGGAAGGAAGTAAAGAAGTATTAACTACTTCAAATGATAATAGAGTTATGATTGAAGAACCATGGTTGACTGAAAATACTCTGCCTAGTTTGGAAAATGTAAGGAGAGATGACCTGGAAATTGTGCTTCTTGGTACGGGTTCATCGCAGCCTTCTAAGTACCGTAATGTTAGCTCTGTCCATATCAATCTTTTCTCCAAGGGAAGTTTGCTCTTGGACTGTGGAGAAGGAACACTGGGACAACTGAAAAGAAGGTAACATGTTATAAAATTTTAGTTGATAACAGTGATATCATGGTCTTTTCCTTTATCCATTTTAACTCGTGACTGTTGGTCTGTTGAGGAAACAGATATGGCGTAGATGGTGCAGACAATGTTATTAGAGATCTAAAATGTGTTTGGATATCTCATATTCATGCTGATCACCACACGGGTCTGGCGAGAGTGCTTGCTTTGAGGCGTGATTTATTGAAGGGAGTGCCTCATGAACCGTTACTGGTTATAGGACCACGGCAACTTAAACGATATTTAGATGCATATCAAAGACTTGAAGATCTTGATATGCAGTTCCTTGATTGTAGGAGTACCACAGAAGCTTCATGGGATACTTTTGCTAGTGATGACGAATTAAATAATAATGGATCATCTCCAGAATGTCCAATGCATTCAAATGCCAAAAATGGAACTTTGTTTACTAGAGGTAGCCGTATGCAGAGCTATTTGAGGCAACCAGGCAGTCCGGTGGACCATTCTGCAGCTTATCCATTCCTAAGGAGATTGAATAATATACTAGGTGAAGCAGGATTAGAAGCTTTGATTAGTTTTCCTGTCGTGCACTGTCCCCAGGCATTTGGCATTGTTTTGAAAGCTGCAGAGCGAGTCAACAGTGTTGGAAAAGTCATCCCGGGATGGAAGATTGTGTACTCGGGTGACACTAGGCCATGTCAAGAACTGGTTGATGCATGTTGTGGAGCAACAGTTCTCATACACGAGGTAAGTTAACTGCTATGTTTCATTGATTATCAACATAGCTAATAGTTTTGCGATCATCATTCAAATGAATCCATATTTTCCATGTCTATAGGGTGTACAATCTCACCATTTTAGGATTCTTAAGTGGTTTATTCAGCTTCGAGTTTACTTTTGAAACTGAATACCTCTTTTATACTTGTATTAACCATCATCAGTACATTCACAAGGCTAATTTGATTACCTCACGCTTGATCATATCACAGGCGACTTTTGAGGATGGTTTGGTTGACGAGGCCATTGCAAGAAACCACAGTACAACCAAGGAAGCCATTGAAGTGGGAAACTCTGCGGGTGCATATCGCATTATCCTAACCCATTTCAGCCAAAGATACCCGAAAATTCCTGTATTCGATCAGACTCACATGCATAAGACATGCATTGCTTTTGACATGATGAGTATTAACATAGCAGATTTGCCGGTGCTTCCCAGAGTCCTCCCATACCTTAAATTGCTTTTCAGAAATGAGATGGCAGTAGACGAGTCAGATGGTATTATAGAAGCTTTGATGTAAGTTTCTTGACAAATAATGAATTAATTGTTTTTTTCTCTTCATTTCGATACCTCGCCTGTTTTAAGAACTTACATGGTTCATACCAGTATTTAAACGTTTTAAGCTTGTCCGTCATAGCTTGTAACCCTGGTGTGTGAGGAGCTGCCTTTGCTACTCAAATCAGATCGGAGAAGATATTACAGAAACTGGGGTTTGGATCTTTGATAGGTCACACGAACTAACTAAATCAAGCATTTGGTTCTTCTCATCTTACATCTTTGATTATTCATGTGAAATGGGAAGCAAATTGTTGCAAGTGTAAAATAGTGTGGCATGAACATAGTACTGAAAGAAACTGTAGAAGATAATGGCATTGTTTCAGGTCAAAATCATTAATCAGGCATTCACAATCATCTCCATTGTTATATGTAACACAGCACGTGGCAGTATTGAAGTTGTACAAATGTGGAAATAGCCTTTTCCTTTTGACCAATCATAGACATTACCCAAAACCTTTCGCTTTATAGCTTTGCCTCCCTCGCCTTCCTACACACTTAACTTAAACGTGTCCTTTTTTCAAACAAACAAAAAAAGAACATGTCGGAATTAAATATTTATCACAGATGTTAGAATTGCAAGCAAATTTGGACAATACGATCTAAAAATTTCATAAATATAATGTAAATATTTGAACATATTAAAATATAACAATTTATATCAATCTATCAAGTGGTTAAAGGAAGTATTATTTTTCTTAAAGATCCTGAATTATGTGAGAGAGGCTGATTGACATAGTCATGAGTTTAATGATAGAAAAATAGAAACAAAACAGTGACTGCTCCTATAAATTAAATCACATAATCTCCCTTAGGATAGCACCAAGAAGGCAAGAAGGTTGTTTGATGGATTAAAAACAACTTTTCTAGTAAAAAAAATTATAGGTAAATTATTTATGTAGTCATCCACCTATATTCAAATTTAGTTTTAAGTCACTTAATTATTATTTAAAAAACATACTTAATGTTATGTTTTAGTTCTGTTTTGATTACCTACCATTAAAAATTTAATGGTGATGTTACCATGATTTTTTTAAATTATTTTTTTTAATATTGACATTGTATTATCTTACAGTGACACATTAGCATCATTGTTAAAAAATTAACGAGTGACCAAAACATAATTAAAATGTAATGTTACGTATGATTTTAAAAAAATAATAGTTAATGATCAATACAGGAATTAAGTAATAGGTGGTTGACCAAATAGATAGTTTATCCAAAAAGTTTATATCATGATCTTATTCTTAATTATTTTATTATCATAAATATTTTTAAAGACGAATATATTTGTATTAATAATATAGAGTTTTTGTATGAGATTAAAGAAACTACAATTAATAAAATAAATGATCAGTCGAAGAAAGTACATTGCGGGTGGATCCGTCGCTGTATCCGGAAGACACGTCTCTACCACTCTCATGCAACCGGTCTCTGGAGATCTCCATGTTTATTAACAGCAATCAGCAGTAAAACTGGAAGAATCTGAATGTCAACACACAGTAAAAAGAAGGAGAAAGAGAGAGAGTAAGGCGTTGAAAGTCTCTGTCTACCATTGAAATAAACATGTGTATCTCAAAACAAAATAAATTGCATTTAAATTTAGTTGGCTCTGAATTGAGGAGCTGTTTTCACACATTTGTTTAATGTACCATTTGTTTTGTTTTGTTTTGTTTTTTTCATTTATAACCTACTGCTACCTTCTTCTCTTTACCGACTCTTTCTTCTTATCTCTCCTTTTTCAACGAATCCTTAATTATTTAATAGTATGAAGAAATCTTGAAGCTGAAAGGGAAATATAATATATACACACATATTTATATTTATATGTTTTTGCCACTTTTCACTCATTAAAAGACCATCTTTCCTTGGAAATTTCTTAACTTTCTTCCACTTTTCTGGCAGAAATGATCATCCAGCTTCTTGGGTTGTGTTAAAAAAATAAACTTTTTTCAGGGTTCTTGTGAATTATGGGTAATAGCTTCATTTGCAGGAGAAAGAAAGATACCAAAGATAATTATGGGACAAGGAGTAAGAGAATGGGGGGAAGGTCCCAGAGGAAAATGCTTGCAGAGGAAGAGCTTTTGCATGGGCAAGCTTTGTCTATGGCTCTTCATCAGCACCAATTGTCTCAGAGATTTGATGGATCCATGTCCAGGAGAATTCGCTCTACCAGCTCCAGAAGAAAGGCTGATCCATTAGCTAATAATGAAAAAAAGGTGGGGCTTTTTTTTAATTATTATCAAATTACTTGCCTTTTTTGTGTTTCCTCACTGTGTTTTTCAGCTTTTCATGTGCGATCATTATGTTAATCACTGTTTTAGTTGACTGGATCTATGGTGAGAAAGGTGATTTTTTTATGATTGATTGTGTAAAAACAAGAGAGAAAAGTTGTTAATCGTGTTGGAGAACAGCTTGGTCAATGGTCCACCAGGTGAATAAATAAGGGACTACAAATGTTTCCTTTTGCCTTTTCATTGAAAAGTTGTTAATCATGTTGGAGCATTGTTTATTCTATTGTGCTTTGTGTTGAAGAGGACTGAAACAGACATGATTGTATTAGCATAATTCTTTCACAAATCTTAGAACTTTTTCTATAAGCTGATTTCTAGTACTACTTCCATGTTCTTTGCAGGTGCTGGAATCTCTTGAAAACATTAAGTTTAAAATAATTGTTCTGATACATGGAGAAGGCTTTGGAGCTTGGTGTTGGTATAAAACCATTGCTCAATTGGAGGAAGTGGGCCTTTTACCTACTGCATTCGATCTTACCGGTTCCGGTATCGATCTGACAGATACAAACACTGTCACTACATTAGCAGAATATTCTAAACCCTTGATTCGATATCTGGATACCCTTCCTGAAAATGAGAAGGTAAGTGGGCACATTTGATACTTACCATTCATTTTATTCACCTAAGAAAGCCTTGCCATCTTTTGTTCAGGTTATTTTGGTGGGTCATAGCAGTGGAGGTGCATGCCTTTCTTATGCACTGGAGAATTTCCCAGAAAAGATCTCCAAAGCAATCTTCCTTTGTGCTACAATGGTGTCTAAGGGTCAGAGACCTTTCGATGTGTTTGCAGAAGAGGTATTTTATTAATGCCTAGCTGCCAATTATTTTACATCGATTAATTACACACGAATCTATGTTACTTCGATTTTCCATTTTGCTTGAACCAAATGTATCGAAGAACTAAATTTATTACAACGTTAACGATTATTGCTACTGAATCTTGGTAATGAAGGTTCTTTCACTGCTCCTTAGCTCTTTAGTCATATGGTCTACATGAACTGATAAAAGAATTCATTGCAGCTCGGTTCTGCTGAACGTTTCATGCAAGAGTCACAGTTTTTGATTTACGGAAACGGAAAAGATAAGCCGCCCACAGGGTTCATGTTCGAGAAACAGCTAATGAAAGGATTGTATTTCAACCAGTCACCAACAAAGGTATTTTACAGCTTTGTTTTCAAATGAACACTAAAACAATTAGTTAAGCTAGAAAACTCATGCTGCAATAGTTTGCATGTACAATGTACTACAATGTATGTCAAGACTCGACATGCCGTATCTTCTGATGATTTGTGTCAGGTTTAATGGTGAATGTATGTTGCATTGAAGATGTTAATACCGTGTCGAGGTATGGTGTAGTGTAAAAATTATGGACTGATCACTATTATGAAAGTGAGGAGCTTGAAAAGTACCTGAATCTTTGTTGCTATTCATTGAATCATATTATTCAACATGATATTTGATTCCTTCCCAGGATGTTGCTTTGGCCATGGTTTCCATGAGACCCACTCCACTAGGTCCTATAATGGAGAAACTGTCGTTGTCCCCCGAGAAATACGGAACCGGACGTCGTTTCTACATTCAGACATTAGATGACTGTGCTCTTTCACCGGACTTGCAAGAAAAACTAGTAAGGGAGAACCCACCAGAAGGAGTTTTCAAGATTAAAGGGAGTGATCATTGCCCATTCTTCTCAAAGCCACAGTCGCTTCATAAAATTTTAGTAGAAATTATTCAGATTCCTTAGCTTAAGTTTCAGATAAAGAAGAAAAAAGGGAAATGGATTATTCATAAATATTTATTTATATTTTCTGATAGAACACAGTTTGTTCATTACAGGGCATTTTATTTGTAGTCACAGGCCTTGCATGTAGAACAATAGGGCTACCTGTCTGTAATTTTTTTTTTCTTACAGGACAAAAGTTATGTTCATTACATGGCAGTTTTCTTGTATGTAGAACAGTACGGCTACCTTTTTGATTAATTATGGAAATTATTTATTATATATATAAATTACGAGGCAAAAATACCTTTCCCAACGTATTATTATTAGAGGCAGAAGCATTGTTCACAGACAGAAGATGTAAATGCAACATATGAAAAATACAAAATATTCCATCAATGGAAGAAACAACTATTGCTAAGACTCATATGATTCAAGTAAACTAAGCACCTTGGATCATTCAAGAACATAAGAAAAAAAAATCATGACAGTCCAGCACGATCTCCGCTTCCGGGAACAACACTGATTTTATCAGAGCATGTTTGATCCAGTCGGTTCTTTACAAATGTAGACTACATGGAAATACTTCCAACCCGATTGCTCGCCGATGCTTGCCCTTAACAATGTAATAAGAGTATCTAGTGCCAGGTAAGGACTATTCAAGAACATATTAAGGAGAATACAGTGATTACGAACCCAATAAGGCGAACAGATATTGCAAGCCATAGCAACATGAGAGAAGATGCAAACCCAAAAACAGGGTAGAAAAGGTTGTGGTTCAAAGCCTGTCAATAAATAAAACAAGCAATATCAATCCTAGAACACTTTATTGCTAGTATGAATTTGTTTCACGGAAAGAAAACCAGGTTGCTGAAACAAGCGTTAACTAAGTTAACAGAATCAAAGACAAAATGGGCGTGTACCAGTTTAGTTGGATTTTCTAAGATCCTGAAGTTGACTTCTGAACCCAAACTTGTTTCTGCAAGTAAAGAGAGAAAAAACACAACAATCAAAGGTGAACAATATATGACAACTATTACTGCTGATTCAGCACAAAATTTGCAAACCTCATGGAATGAGCTAGTAGATCCACTTTTGGAAGACTTGCCGTCCCTCAATGTAACAGACCCATCATCCTTAGTATTATAGGTTGTGGGATGCTGAGCAAAATGTCTACAGGAACCTGTTGAATGTATAATCAACATGGGATTCTAGCATTCATGTGACAGCAATACCAAATCAATCAATTATAGATAGATTGAAAGACTGATAGACTAACCATTTTCTGACGGAATGTTATGTCCACTGCTTCCATTAGGTATGTCGCCTTTCATTTCTCCTTGGATAACTAGAAGTTCATATGAAGAAGTGAGGCAAATTAGCTTTCCTCATTTTTTGCAAATTCATTCAGAGAAACTTGATAAAATAACTGTATCCCAAACCTATTGATACTTGTAAACACCAGTTAATGCGTAGAAACATTAATACCTTGAGGATTACGAGTGGGCTGGGCATATTGTGACACAGAGGGTGTCAGGTGCTCCTCGCTATCTTGTGGAACTTCAGAACGAAGAAGAGGGGCCCATACACCACGATCAGGTCTATCCTTATTTCTTGTACGTTTTTCACGCTTCTCGCTTCCAGAACCTGAACCATGCAGTGCCTTTTTCATGAACTTGTTATTTGAAACTCATTTTGTATCAACACCAGATTACAGTGCAGGAATTTAATTAGAAACATCACCATTACCCAATCGTGCATTCATGGCCCGGGGAGGTCTCATAGTTTCATTTTTCTGCTGAGGCTGGACCGCTGCAGAAGATCGATTTTGGCTCGATTCATTACTCAAAAGTATGTTCCTTATCAACATTCCACCATCCTCACATCGCTGACATTGTCTCAGAGCAGTTGAACCAGATGAAGTTGCTACAGGAGATGATGCACCCTGCAGTTCAGGTTCACCCTCCGACGCCTAGTAAATTTAAAGATCATCATAATTTGCATCCAAAAATTAAGGAAAAATATAACAGAATACCCCAGCTCTACAAGCACATAAAAAACACATTTCAATGAATTATAACAAAACTTGGATATAGCTAACAACGGATATGTAAGTGGAATGGAGACAACAAAAGGCAAATCTCTTACCCGAGGAGCCTTTCGATCTTTTGGTTTTAGGAGAAGAATCTTTTTCTTCCCAGAATCAGCAGAAAATTTGATTCCAGTTACAGGACCATCAATGCCACAGACTGCAACGCAACTAATTAAGCCAAAATGTGGGGGGATAAATGAAAAAGACAAGTTAAAAACCAAAACAACCAGCAACCTAAGGATTCTAATATATCACCAAGTTCTGGTCATATGAAAGATGATGATTCAAATAACAGCCAAGAGAGAGAATAGACACATAACTTAATTACACTGCACACGCACATGCTGTAAAAGAACACATAAAATGACATGATTCATTGGCACTAATGCTCGTATAATAAATAATTACAGGTAAACAAAAGGTCAACATTATTCCACACCTTCATCCATGCTGCTTAAGATATATAGATGAGTTTTAAAGACGAATACAAGTAGTCTAACATATGAACTCAGGTCGAGCTGAAGCTCCATCATGGTGGCATCAATTGAAGAAACTTAAGTCTGTTCCTTTTCAATGTTCCATGGGTCGGCTGTATTTGTAAATGGTGTATAAGAAACTTGGGGATAAGAGCCCATATTCTTGCTATCAGGGATCAACTGGAGTTTTCTGAAAATTTTACTATTAGCTTCACTGAAACATATTCATGAAAATATGTTTTCTGGCTACACACTATGGGATATCTACCAAAACAAAACAAGACACGGATGTTTTCAGACAATTTTAAAAAGTCAAAAGAAATTTATATAAATTTAATTCGAAACAAACAGTCACAACGACAACACAAAAAGGTTTGATGCAAATGCTGACAAAGCTAGTAGTTCATTAGCACTCAGCAAAGAGTAATTCTCACCAGTTCCATTCTCTCTAATTTCATTTGCAGCAGAAGTCACCGATTGATCCTCTTTCTCAGATGCTACCAAAGAATTGGACTTCTTTGCACCTTTTGCACCATCTTTTAGAATATACTGCAAATCAAACAAGTTTCCTTCAATGAAAATAGCAACTACTACCCTTCAAAAATTGCACATGCGTACTTAAAGTAACAAATAATCACGGGGAAAAAATCATTTAAAAAATCATTAAAAAAGACTGTCCCTTTCATCTTCTATATGAAGCATTTATGACTATGATGAGCTTCAAGTGCATAATATAAAACTTTAAATTATCACCTTAAGGCTTTTGCTAATGGAAAAACTTCCAACCCAATGGTTACACAACAAGGTAAGAAAGTGATCAAGAAACCTAACCATTGACATAAAGTTTTTCAAATGTTACCTCTTTCCGTCCTTCCTACAAAACAAAGCCTAAATCTTTGACTTTTGGGGATTAACCAAACCTTCCTAAGAGGCTAAGACAGTATCCTACAGGCATTATCCAAAGGAATCTTAAGTCGCTTCAAATTACAGATACCAGCCACAATTATAAAGCAGATGATCCAGACAAGTAAGAGCTAAGTTCTTGTACAAATAACAGGCCCCTCATTCACCAGTAGGTTGACTAGCAAAAAAAAAAAAGTTACAACACTTTTTTTTTTCACAAGTACTGAAAGGTTCTCTCCAAGTTGAGAGTACCATATGCTAAAATATCCAGCAATACAATAAATAAGAAAGCTATTGACTTTGAGACCTTTTTCTTCTCAGAGCCACGTTTGCTACTTGATCCAGGCTTGCCTCTAGATGCAGCAGCAGCTTTTTTTCCAGTCTTTCTTACAGTGATTGAACCCTGTCACCAAAACAAAGTGGTCACTTAAGGATGACTTTTTAATTCATCTTTTGTTTCTTTTACCTTTTTCTAGACCCCAATAAGGATCTCAAGGAAATAGTGACCAAGGACAGCATCATGTAACATGTTGAATGGAAACATGTATGACTAAGTCTCTCAGACTGTTGGACAATTTCTGGTCAAATTGGATCCTAATAATTCATGAGGAAATTCAACATGAAAGGAAACCATGCAAATACCTTCTTCAGTCCTCAACATGTAAATCATGTTTTAATGATGTTTAATGAGCTAATAACAAAATAGGTAATGGGAAGTCGATAGCATATGATGCCTTAAGGTCATATAAACAGGGAAAATGGCAACATGTTGGTATAGAATTACACCCTTTCTTAAAGTGAAATACCTGAGCTCCACTCTCAGCAGCTCGTCTTCGACGTACAAATTCCATTAGTGGAGTAATGACAGGGGTTCCTTTGGGAGTGCCTAAGAAAAAAAAATGGGACCAGAGAGATAATATTCACATTAGGGTGAAAAAAACTCAACTAGAATTCACATTTTTTTGTTTATCATTCTATCATAACTAACCAGATAGTTCTGCTTCTTTTCTTTCCAACTGAAGTTCAGCACTGGGAAGATTTTCAACAGGTTTAGCAATCATTTTGAGGAACTCCAGATAATCAGGGTCTAGTTTCATAAAAGAAAAAGAAGAGTTAGTACAAGATAACAAGTTATAGGAGTCAACTCAATGTTTGGGTAAAAACTTCCTATTAAATAACATCTCTAAAGATAAACTCTTTCTCATTAAAAATAATGCACCTTTGAAAATGGTCCCTTCACGAGCATCCTTTTTAGTGCCTGGCTTTGGAACATGCTGTGAAGGAGCATATTCAACAACGGCTTTAAATTGAGTACCTGCAATAAGTGGCATCCAACTAATATTTTAGTGTAAGGGGCAACACATTATGGGTTCATCTAAGTTAGAGAAGAAGAAATTAGCAATTTGCAATCTAATTGAAAAAATGCTAACAAAAGTTGTATGTATCTTACAAATTTGGTAAGAATCACATAAACTGTACTCTAAAACAAGAGAAACATGTCAGCATTTTGTAAACATCATAAATAATCAGAATTTAAGCATAAAATACCCTTCTCATTGACAAATACATGCCCACCGAAGAACTCAGAAAAATCGAAGACATCTTCTGGCCTCTTGAAGTTTATATAGGCTCGAGAGTATCGCTGATGCTTATGGCTGCAAAAGTGTTTTGAGAATAAAAAAAACTCATTAAAAGACGAGGTAAACAACAGGACTGCGTACTAAAGAAATTCTCAATAAGATTATAGAAGCTTTTTTCATTACATCAACATGATTGATTATCGTAATAATTTCTTTCCATTTCATGCAATTTTCCAATAAGCAAAGAAATGGAACGTCAAACGGAAACCATAGTCCAAGAATCATAAAATACATACACAAATAACCTTGGGAGTCGAAAATATTTTCAAATTTTAGTTTCAAATATTCCAACCTACCCTTTTCTCCCCAGCTACTAAAGAACAAAACTTCACCATCTTACTGCAGCAACTTAGCTACATCTTATCAAATATCAAACTTTTATAATGGATAAGAAATCCGACACAATAATCACAAAAACTCGCTTTATTTGATTGCAGATACAAAATTTGAAGTTGATTCCGAAATGAAAAGAACTGGAAAATGGGGGCGTAAAAAGTTAGAAACCCTTACGTGCACTTGCCGAGACGGAAGGAGAACCAATTGTAACGATCAGAGAAACGATCGTCGATTTGAGAGAAGAAAGAGGATTGGGTAAGTGAAGGTGGCAGATGCCTTATCACCACTTTCGTTCTTCTTAACGGCTCCTTCATCTCTAGATTAACTCTTCCTCAATTCTCCCTTCTTTTTCTCTTCTGTTTGGGATTCAATTCTCTTTTTGAAAGTATGCTTCATTTTTCTCACTGTCATACACACGTCACTTTACAAATTTTACGCATACTAGACTGTGTCCTTTTATTTTAGGGTAAATCATACATTTACTCACTGAACTATAGGTTATTTTAATTTTAAACGAGGATTTTAAAAATTACAAAGGCATAATGACAACATTAGTCCCTAATATTTATTCAAATGATCATTTTGACTATTATTATTATTTTTAAGTATTTTAGCTCCTAACATTTTAATTTTTGGTCAAAACGGCCCAAATTGAATGAAAATTGTTAATTAACCAACTATCAACGCGTGTTACTAACTTGACATTTTCACATATGTTTAATATATATCATGTCATCACTTTGAATGATATGGTACATGATACGTCATTATATTGAGTGACATAACACATATCACTTTGGATGTTATGACACATAATACATCATTACTTTGAGTGATATAGCATATGTCACATTAATAATTAAGTATATGTGAAAATGACACGTTAGCAATATGTATCAATTAACAGTTTCCATCCAATTTAAAAAGAAAATTTACTATATGTTTTCCCTGAGCTTTTTTCCATTTTCTTCCTCTATTAGGATAGTTTGCTTAGCAACGGATTCTCAGAAAACTTCAAATTTCCAGAGTCTTTCTTCAATAGGATGGATGGATAGGGGAGTAAAAAGAAAACAACTTTCCATTGCTGGGAATTGAACCCGGACCTCCTGGGTAAAAAACCAGATATTCTAACCAGTGGACGACGATGGAGTGATTTCCTAACGGTTATTGTTTATAGTTGTTGACTTTGGTCTGTGTTATGAATTTCCAAAGTGAAGCTCAAATGGAAATGCAATTTTTTTAATCTCATTTTTTAGGATTTTTTTTTACCTTGAAGTTATGTTTGATTTAGCATTTTCTCCTCATGAATATTCTTCAATTCTTTTAAAATTACGTAAAGAGATATTACAACATAAGCAAATATCAGAAATTTGAACCTACACAAGGTGGGACAACATAATCTATCCTTAACCACTCAATTAATTAATGGATATCAATACTCTTTGATTCTTTATTTTATAGCTTACAACATTTATCACATTCTCTATTTTCTCTACAGTCGGAACCAATAAGACAACCTAGTAATATGATTCCCTTTCATTGCATAGCAAATTCCCTTCCAATTGCCACCAAATCATTAGAGATGATCAATAAGAGACAATTAAACAGAATGAATAATTTTTATTTTGCTAAACGTTTGGGCATTGTTGATGAAACTATGTATCAATTGGTATCGTCACCGCATTTAAATCAAAATAATACTAATACAAAAACAATATGATCCGAACGCACCCGAATCTATACATTTATCACCACTACTTGGAATAGAAATTTTCCAATTAATTATGATATGTACTCATATAATCATTTACCCACGGAAGGCATTTCATAATTTGGAGGTCTCCTACGAAAGTTGCTCTCAACCTGGCGTTGGGGGCAGCTTACTATTCTATCTCCCCCTTACCCCATTACATATGGAAATAAGGATCAGCTAATTTTTTATTAATAATCCAATATTGTAAAAAATATATGTTTTTCTAAAATCATACAGAAATAAAATATAAATACTAATTGACCCAAAAAAAAGATAACAATGGCTTTAATATTTTTATTAATCAAGGCAAATAACTATACACTTCCAATCAGTTGAAGCTACTAACAATTACATAGCAAATTACTGTTGGAACATTGCTGACCCCTAAGAAATCCAAATGTCTTGCTATGATGAGCAGTTGTTACTATAAAGGTGACATGCAAATGGAAACGTACCAGCATCATTAGAGAAATTCAATCCTTTCTGCAGCAGGGTTTGAGTCCGCAACACTTGTTTCCTTCCACAGAAAAATGGACTATCCGATCATCGATGTGTCGCCGAGATGAGCCAGCCTTTGAACCTGATGACCAAGCACTATATAAAGCTTCTGAAGCTTGAATTGATAACCCATTATCGCTAAGATCTAACAACTGCAACCGTTTAGCCATTCCGTTGGCAAGGGAAAACTCTTGAATGAGCTTGCAGTCTAGAGTTGAGTTTCTTTGGCAAGAACTTCCATAGCAGTCATTGAATATCCATATCGGCATTATGAGCAAGATTGAGCTCTTCCAGAGATTCATTCTCTGTGAAGAAAACCAACTTAGAAATTAGAAATTTAGATTTTGATTAAAAAACTCAAAAATCATACTGGAACTGGTAATATAACCTGCTAGTGCATGAGCTATTTGAAGAATCCCAGCCATCCCCAGTTGACACTTGTTCAGGTTCAGAACTTTTAGACAACATTGAGGGTTCATAAGCAGTGATGCTAATGCATTGCCACCCTGTTTTCATGGATCCAGTCATATTCAACACAGAGTAATCTTAAATCCAAATTCAGGGTTTCTAGGCTGAAGAAAATAATATCTATAGCATAGACAAACCTCTTGCATAATGGGATTTCCTTTAAGATTCAACTCAAGAATGCCACTAATGAACATAACATTAGTGTTAAGTTCAGAAATGTATGTACATGTTACTCCACAAAAAGACAAATCAATTTTCAAAGGCTCCTCAATCGTGCTGAAAAATGAGTGAGTCAATCCAAGTGCTCCATCCTACAAATGGCATCAGAAGAGGAAGAAACTTAACTAATACGCTCAAAGAAAACAAATATTAATGTAAAAAAACATGGTGACATGAAAACTGCTTACAGTTCCTATACCGGTTGCCCTCAAGCATCAGTCGTGATAAACATGAGGTTTTAGCTAGGTGACAAAGACCATCAACCACAGTATTGTTTAGTTTTAAGCCGTTTAGACTAAGCTCTGAAAACCTGTAGGGAAAAAAAGGGGGCAAGCTTGAAGCTTAGGTGCTTCTCCAATTAAATGTACTTAAAGAAAGAAGAGAAAAGTGTACTGTTTATTGTAAACCTCTTCAAAGTAGCTAGTTTGCCCAATAAATAACTGATAGCATTCCCAGATACAGGATTGTTATGCCCTGCCACAAACAGTGATGCTTAGAGAGCTTTCCATAAACAAATGTAGAATTTAATTGAACTATTCATTGATTAGGTAAGAATACCAATAAAAAGTTGTGATAGTATAGATTTGGTATCCAGTGCATCAGCAACCTTTTGAACTGTTCTAGAAGTAATGGAGCACCTCTCTACATTCAAGCTATACAGGGCTAAAGATAAAAAGAGGCATAAGTTGATATACTCGAGCAAAACACAATTATTCCAAAGGGAACCCTATTTATATGCCATTACTACATGTAACCGTAGGGAACGCAATTTACCTCCGCACTTTTCTATGATAGTTGAAAGATATGATCCGCATGCATCAGTGAGACGGTTACCAGAGATATTAAGCACTTCAAGTCGCGTGAACAGCACAGGGCACTCACAAATCTAATTATGAGTGAAATGTAAACATGTTAGGATGCCAAACAGAGGGGTGGGCTACTCTAACTGCCATGAGAGAGAATTAGAAGTATATTTCTGTGAAAAAAATCAGTTTTCTTGCAATATTTAAGAAGTGCAAAAAAAAAACTAATTAACAACTATGCACCAAAGTTGGGAAAAAGAAAATTAAAATAGTGTGTTCAAATATACGGGATAATGTCACAAATGGTCCCAGGAGTTCATCAAATGTTCCATGTTACTTTTAAGTCTATTTTTATACTTGTACTTTAATTTTGTGTGTTAATTTAGGACCCATAACTAGAACTGTTAAAATTTAATTTTGCTTTTCTTTTCTAGTTTTTCCTTTCTTTCTTCCGTTTCCCCCACCCCCCTTTCTCCTGATCTCTCCCTCTCATCTCAACATTTTCAGGCTGAATCTGTCCTACCAATGCCAAATTCGAACTCAAATAGATAATATGAAGAGATTAGCAGGGGAGAGGAAAGAAAGAAAAGATTCTAATAAATAATTCCTTTTTATATTCTTTAAAAACTCAGATGTTTATCACATATTTAATCTGTGAATTTAACAAAAAAACATTTTTTGTAAAATTTTTAGATAATTTTTCTCTTCTTAAAAAGTTTAGATATTAATGGTTTTGAAAAACTGGAATCGGTATTCTAAAATTAATGCCACATGTTAATATATTATTGGTAACTGTCACTTCATCTCTAGTTAACTTTAAGTCTAAGTTTCACATTATTGCACAATCTGATAATACAATTAGTGCATTGAAATTTTATTGAAGCAGATAACTGCATTGTAAAATATTTGATAAACTTCAAGTCATTTATGACATTATCCTAATACAAATTGAACAAATACAGAGAAACAATATTAAAGAAATGATGTTTCTTTTCAAAAGAGTGTGAAAAGAAAACATGAAGCTCTCAATTGCTGAAAAAAGATGCTTATAACATAGGCCACATACCTGGAATAAAGCAGCTGGACCAAATCTATTGCAATGCAAGTCTAAAGTCAAATCACCATATGTTTGGTTCGATGATGAAAAAAGCTGTTGGAGTTTCTCCATTGTTCCATTTCCTGGAATAGATACATCAAATGGAACACTAAGTTCAAAAGAAATGCAGGTTTATTCATTTTTAAGAAAAATAGGACTTCATATGATATTGAGTAACAACTTGTCATGTGAACAAAACTTCGGAACTATTTGGAAGATGGAACAGAAATGGGATATTATCACCTAACGCGTTGTGAGAAAGATCTAGCATTGAAACCCCTGTGTGTGTATGCAAGGCATTCAACAATGGAATTACTGATATATCTAGCAGTGCACAATTAGATACGTTGACTTCATCCTCTATCTGGTAAATAGAGAGTTGAAAATAGAATAAAACCATTTAGGCTTCCCAGTGGTAATGTAACAGGCTACCCTGCAGCAGTTTGTTGAATATGTAACAATACAAAATATAGCATCAGCAACAAACTACTGTTTAACCTTCATTCTTACCTCAGAAACATACAATTTTCTAAGCAACTTCATACTTCGTGTCTCGTG